ACATCCGCTCAAGCCCTTGAAGGGCTCCGCAACTGTTGCCCAAACCTACCTTTTTGCAAGGCAGCGAGGAAGTGAACAGCGCCTCGTGAACTTGGCAGATCTCATCAATGGCATTTGCAGGTGCGGGATGGATTATAGTTGATTGCCAGTGCGGGATTTGGTGATACATCCCTGACTTGTACTGTCCTTCTCAGGCAATAACGACTTCTGTGCTTCCTCTGAAGGCATGATTGGGCAGATCTTGGGAGAGGGGGCCTGAGAATCCTCTCACAAAAGCACAAAAACTTTGGGAAATGGGACATTGTCAGTGCCTTGTCGACGAGGTTGAAGATCTTGTACCAGTTCCCCCCACTTCGCAGCCGCTTTGCCTCGCCGTCGCTTGAAGAAGCCCTTGTTGGGGCTGAACAGTTTCTTGACCTCACCCAACCCCAAGAAGGGACTCTAGCGCTTAAGAAATCCTTCTTTGACATGTAGTGCAAATGCTGGGGGCCCCAACTGGACTGCCCTAAACCATGATCCTTCATTAGGCACAATATGGCACAATCTTTGATACCACTGGACGCGCTGGACAGTCTTATCATCAACTACAGCTGTCCAGCACATAACATACTTGGACGTGAGGCCAAAGAACAACACCATTTTGAGCCCACGCGGGAATTCGCAAACAGTGAGATGAAGCGCCGCTTTCCAGCACAGCCTCTCCGGAAACAGGGCCCCTGCGGCTGCTTGGTTCAGGATTGCCGCCTGGCACAGCCATCCAAAGACGAGCGATGCCCAAAGGCACACACACAAATCCTGGCATGCATGCAGAACTTGTTAGAGTCATACAGCGTGTCAAGCAAACCAATGCAAACCTTCTGTTCAAGTTTCAACGAATTGGTTTCCCCAAACGGCTACTTGATCTAATTGCGGGTGGTACATACTCTGGTTGCATATCCTTTACGTACATGACCAAGCTTTGCTGTTGTTCATGCCTCTTCCTCAGAAGCAGTATGCACCGTAGGGCTGAAGAAGGTGCAATATTGACCCAGGACTAAGAAAGCCTGGTTGATTGATAGAGGCCGGTACCCCGAAAAAAGACTCAGGTTGATTCATATGGGCTCAGCATTGTGCACTTTCCGGCCTAAATTCTGTGAATGGGACGTTGTGGGAGCCATGATCAAAGAAGCAGTCAGCATGCGTCAGCGCGTGTCTGCGTAATTGTTTGCCCCTGGTTTTGCTGCCTCCATTACAAGCTGCCCAATTATCTTCGACTTACTTTGGGCTGCCCGTTGTCAAGCCCTATGTTTTACTCCCACTCTTACAACCACTGAACCTCGCACACAACCTCCCCCAAACCAACACTTCAAATCCGGTGCGATTCGAACCATTCGCGCCAGCTTCTCGAGCTCAAGCGGCTCCAGGCTGGGCCAGCCCTCCAAGTGCACCTGGTACCTAGCGCCAAAGGCGCACCACAGGGAAAAGGAAAACCAAAACGGAAGCAATTGTTTTGGGTTTCTTGAGGAAACCAGGCTACCTCCCCACCCCACCCACCCCCTTCAGAGCTTGGGGGTGCACTATAAACGGGCCTGGCGTCCCCACAACTTTCGGCGAAGAAGAAGGATCGGCAGTGGCAAACCCTAGCAGGCTGGGAGCCAGGGGTTGCCACCCATTTCTTCAACTCGCGGTCATGTATCTCCGCATAACATGTACCTGCCATTTAGACATTTTCGGGATTCCTGCCAACCGAGCACGACAACGGCAGTTTTGAAAAGAGCGCCACATCCGAAGTTCACATCGTGCGCCAAATGAGCTGCCTCCTGGCCTATGCCCGAAGCCACAGGCAAAGCCACTTTCATTCGAGGCTTGACACACATACACATCCCCAAGCTTGCGGAAGATTGTCCTGCAACCCAGCTGACTGGCCAGGCACAAACTCAGCGTGACAAAAAAGCCCAAGGTTTGCAAACACATAACTTCGTCAGCTAATGCATGCATCCTATTAACCTGGGCCAATTCTAAAACAGCACCCTCCCACAGTCATGCACTTTCAGGCTCCATGTTCTGGAAGGGATTCATCATGGTGAGCTCTGTTTACCCACAAGTCGGTGAGCTCGCCACTGAATGGGCAATGTGTTTGTTCTTGCTCTTGTTTTGTTGAGTGGGGAGGGGAGGAGGGATTGAGCTTGCCGAAAAATAGCGGCAATGGGTTCTTTGAGTGCGGGTGGGTGGGTGGGTGGGTGGGTGGGTGGGTGGGGTGGGTGGGGTGGGTGGGGTGGGTGGGGTGGGTGGGGTGGGTGGGGTGGGTGGGGTGGGTGGGGTGGGTGGGGTGGGGTGGGTGGGTGGGTGGGGTGGGTGGGGTGGGTGGGGTGGGTGGGTGGGTGGGGTGGGTGGGGTGGGGTGGGTGGGTGGGTGGGTGGGTGGGTGGGTGGGTGGGTGGGTGGGTGGGGGTGGGTGGGTGGGTGGGTGGGTGGGTGGGGTGGGTGGGGTGGGTGGGGTGTGGGTGGGGTGGGTGGGGTGTGGGTGGGTGGGTGGGTGGGTGGGTGGGTGGGGTGGGGGTGGGGGTGGGTGGGTGGGCGGGGGTGGGTGGGTGGGCGGGGGTGGGGTGGGCGGGGGTGGGTGGGTGGGTGTGGGTGGGTGGTGGTCTGGTGGGTGGGTGTGGGTGGGTGGTCTGGTGGTTGGGTGTGGGTGGGTGGTCTGCTGGTTGGGTGTGGGTGGGTGGTCTGGTGGTTGGGTGTGGGTGGGTGGTCTGGTGGTCTGGTGGTCTGGGGTGGTCTGGTGGTCTGGTGGTCTGTCTGGTGGGTGGTCTGGTGGTCTGGTGGGTGGTCTGGTGGTCTAGTGGGTGGTCTGGTGGTCTGGTGGTGGTCTGGTGGTCTGGTGGTGGTCTGGTGGTCTGGTGGTCTGGTGGGTGGTCTGGTGGGGTGGCTGGGGTAAGATGCTCTGACATCGGGGCACAGGCCCAGCATCATACCCTTGGAGGTCACCTCCCCCATAGAGGAGGGATCCTGGAATTCGGTGCAATGCGGCCAAAGGATTCCCGAATTCCTTGCAACAAAGGAAAACATCCAGAAAAGCTTGGCTTCAAAGTGGTATTCCCAGACCCTAGAAAAGTCTGAAAGCCTGGATTTGGATGGGACTGTCAATGCAAATCATGAATTTCAGGGAGTTCTTTGCTCCCTGCCTCCGAGCTCAAGGAACTCAAGGGTGCCGTTTGATGCAATTTGCAAGGGGGCACCCAAAGGAGATTGTTGGATTCCACAAGCGGACATCAAGACAACCGTTAGGGTGTTTCTTAATTCTGAGGCAACCTCATCCAGGTCCTCCAGTAGAGGTTCGAATAAGGGTTTTAGTAGGGGAACCCTCCCCAAAAAATGGTTAAAAGGGCACTACTGGGGGACCTGGCCATACAAATGTGTTTTAACTTTGACTGAAGGACTTCCAAGTCGCCCCACATGCCAAACTCCAGACCGAAACCTCCAATCCAGACCCGCCCTCCCAAGTTGTGCCCCCAGGTATCCATGGGAGCTGCTCAGCCAAGCAGAGCCAGTATTCCAATCGCACACCCCCACTCCTCGACCTCCCCTCTTGCCAAGCCACCACTCTGAAGCTTGCAAGCTCCAAGAAGCGCCTTCTTATTTGGCCCAGGTTGGACAACACCCAGGGAACCCAAACAAGAGGTCCCTCAAAGGGACCCTTCCTCTCTTTGTTTACATGACGAGCTGTTTGGGTTCCATGACATCTGCTAGGAGTAACGGTGGGAAGCTCTTTGCGTCGCATGCCTTTCGAACGCCTTGGACCTCCAACGATTCTTCTTTGGCCAATGACCAGGCGCCCGATCAGACTCCCATCGGTCCAGTTTGTCCCAAAGTGCGCGGATGTCTTCTTTGGACCTCAGCATTGAGATGCCTTGAGCAAAAAGCCAAAGGCACAAAAAGAAAGGTTGATAGAGTCGTAAAAAATGGGGTCCATATTTCGAATGGTTCTGAACCTCTGCCCACAGCCGGCCCTGCTGGCCGGTAAAGTCGTGAAGTATCGGGTTTGGCAAGCCACTTTCAAGAGCAAATGTGCCTCCCATCTTCGCCTCACCCTGTGGCAATGCGTCACAGAGCTCACCAGTCCTTGCGTGGTGGCGGAAGCTTGTTTCACATGAAATCTTCAGGACAATGTGCCTTCCCCTATTGCACCCATTAGACAACTAGACAGCATGCGTGAAATGTGACACATGCACATGCCAGGAATGGGGGGCGCCCAAGGAAAGAACCTTCACCATGGTTGCAAACCGACGCCCTTTGTGAGGTCAAGAAGTATTCGCTCCAGGGCGTTGCGCTGGTGGATCCCTGGATCCCGCCTGCCCCAACGGATGGACATAGGGCCAAGTTGTGCAACCTTTGGGGCACCAGGACCCTCCGCCACCCGTTGACAAAGAATGCTGTTCCTTGGATTTTGCCCCAAAGCTCATGACCAGTTTTAAACGTGTGTTGTTCGTGTACCGCATTCCCTGAGGGTTTCAATCTAGGTCTTGGTGTTCTAGAGCTGGGTGCTGTAAACGGCCTCCAACTGTCCATGCCCGAAGTCCCCCACCCGTTGCCCCCTTTTGTCCGCGCTCCGGAGCGGCAGCCTAAGCACGTGCGACTTCGGCATAGGCCAGGCGAAATCGAACGGTCGCTTCCTCACTTGGAGCCGAGGACGAAAGCCTCAAAAACAAACACTGTTCTCGTTAGGGAACCTTCAGTCGCCATCATCGGGACTTTTGTCCATTTTTGTTTGAGGAGGAATACCGATAGACCTGGACCTGCAAAAGCATTGGGAACACAACAGCTTTGACCATTCACTGCCTGCTTTGATTGGCGTGTTTGCTCATTGAATCTCAGCGGGCATTTGCTGGTGGTGCTGTCAGCTGCCTTCTTTTGAGGGGGTCCATGTAACCTGGAGGTTAAAACCACGTTTGCCAGCAAGCCGTCTGAAACCCGGTGGTTCAAACCAACTTCGCAGGACCCAAAGCTTGCTCGGGCGCCAGGCGACTATGGCATCGGACAGCCATCGGAGGAAGCTCCTGGGCGCTGCTTCGCGAGAAGGAACTGCTCCAGCGCGTTCCATGAAACACAAGGACAAACCCTTGTTGGAGCCAGACTCCCTTGTTGACAGCTGTGGAATTTGAATATGGGAATTTTTGACCCTTCATCATTCCCTACCCTTCTTCCACCAGATTTGAGTCCGAAAAGAAAGCCACCTCTCTTGATTGCAGGCACTCCCTTTCAAGGTGCCTCACCAAAGTGTGCTGGCCAAGTGGGAGCAAGAAGATAGCGCGGCCAAGCGTGACACCAATCACATACTCCCGGCTGCAGTGTAACAATTTAGAGAGGAAGCAGCAAAACACCTAACTGCCTTCCAAGTGCAAAAGGCGCACCGCACATATATACATATACATACATACATAATATGTATAGTGGCCAGAACAAAGACACACATGGGCCTGAACGGTGAAAACGGGAGGGGGGGGGGGGGGGAATACTTTCACAACTTCCAGTCATGGCTATTGCCCCTTGAAACCGACGACAAGCCATACAACATCACCTGAAGCAAGTGAAAGCAATGTAGTGTCCAAAGAGCTGATGAGATCAGCAGAGATATCTCCAAAGCAAGCGTTGCGCACACGCACGGCAACAGTCCCCGCGTGTTTCGGCCAAGTCCTGGTACCCGGTTCAGAGAAAACTAGTTGGGTTGAACGGCAGCTTCTGCGCTTTTTGTTGTGGTTGCTCATTTGGCTCATTCAGCTGCCATGTAAATGTCAGGGGTTCCAATTCCCCCAAAAGGAGGTGTGGAGCATAATGGAGCATAGCATGTCAAAAGACGTAGGGTTCCCCCCCCCTATTGTGGAACTCCGTCGCTGCCCCGAAACCCCAAACTGAACATGGAAGAAAGAGTTCCCGAAAGGAACATCCCCCCCACACAAAACCTTTTTCAAGGTAAGGCCGGTTTTTTAAAACCCCCCCTCCAGGTATCCCCCCAAGACAGAAACCGTTTGCGTGGTAAGGCCGGTTTTGCCCCAGGGCGCGTGAGTGCGACTTTGAGGTTCCGGCGCTTGACGTCGACCCACTTGCCGTCGATGTGGTGCTTATCCTGGGCCGTGGGCTCAGACAAGGCCCCCTGGATTTTGGCTTCACCTGAAGGAAACACACTCAAAAAGAAATGGTGAAACCATCCAAAAAGAGAAATACCGAGAACCCGCCAGGGACATCGAGAAATGACTCCGGGATCAGTTTCGGAACCAAAGATCATGTCACAAAGTCACTCGTTTTTTGGTTTTTGTTGTTATTTTGTTGCAGTGCCCTTGGACGCCACCAGAAAGCAGATCAAAATTGTCCCACGCAGTGTCTCGAAGGGGGCGGGGACCTCCATCAGAAGCACCCGAACTGTTCGCTGCAGCCTCACTATCATCCCGTTGTCGTTGGATCCTTTGATTAAGCAGAGGTATGGGCGGCCTTTGGTGTTTTGGACCCGCAAACAATTCATCTTACTCGCCCTGAGGCTGGTTGAATCGTGGAATCACTCGCTTCAATAAAGACGTTTAAAGAAGATCTCTTTGCTCAAGTCCTTGATGTGCCCACAAACTAAAATGGAAATGCACAGCCTCCTGGAAGACTTTTTTCCTTCTAGCAAGGGGTTCCGTACACTCTCATGTTGGCTGCTAGGAGGGGTGCAGCAGGGTAACAGTAGATGGCACGAATCCCTTTATTGAGGTTCCTAAATATGACTACATTAAACGAAAACGGGGGCAATTGTGCATCTAGTGAAAGCAGACCATCCAAACGTGGACCCCTGGTTCCCTGCGTCTTAACGGGACAGGCAGTTTCACCGGAGCGGCATGGTCCGCCAGAACCGCCGCGACGCTCTCCGGGGTCTCGAAAACGATGAAGCCGAAGCCCCGGGGCTTGCCGGTCATCTTGTCCGTCATGACAACCTTACTTGGTTGCTGTTGACCCCCCTGCAAAAAGTTTAAGCTTTGGGGGGTTTGCTGGAAAACCCCTTGATTTCCCAAAAGGTTAAAGTCTAAAGATCCAACTCAATAGCAGTCAAGCTTAAAGGCTTGCGCCCAGAAACGCGTTCATGAAAAATGAGTGGGGAAACAACCATTGCGCCCAAAACCGTGGTGATGAAAAATGGGTGAAACAACCACCGTTTAAGTCATGATTGGTTCAACGACCTCCTTTGGGTGTCCGTTTCAAAGGGGCCAGGCGGGAGTTGTTGCGGAGAAGTTGATGGTAGCCAGACAACGTATTGTCCACCCGGATTTGTTGATCAACTTACTGCACTGAGACGCTTGTACGAATTCTTGCGGTGGACTCTCTTCCTTTAAAGTGCTCGAGGGGGATGGGGGCTTTGATCCACTGCCATCGTCATACCTGATTCTGACACTTGACAACAGGCGCTTCGTTCAGAACCATATCACATCTTTTCCCGATGGAACTTCCGATCACTGCACTCTCCTCAGCTACATCTCACATAAACTCTCCATACAACCACAAGCACACACACAACATAAAAATCTCTACTCGAACCTGCTCATCTCTTTTCCAGGTGAACTATCCAATACGACGACAGCTCTAACCACACACACACGATGCCTGCCTGAAACCCAGGGACACAAACGCGGAGATGGGGAAAGCCCGAGCTGGAAGGTCCTATTTTGGCTCTTCAAAGGGATGGAAATCCAATCCAAGTAGTTTTGGAGTTTTGTAGGCCTCCCACCTTCGAAAACGATGGGATGACATCCTTGAATCTCAACATATTTGACCTCAACGTGGAATCTCTTGTGGGGTCCATGTTCTTCCCGCTGGCTTCCAAACCTCTGCACCCATCGCTCTGGTAAGTCAACCATCTCCTCTGAACTTTAGACCGTTGTCCGAGAAAAATCCTAGAACGTATGTGTAATTTACAGCTGGCTCATTGGGTCGTGAATCCCTAGGGGAGATTTACCTGCAAATAGGAAGGCCGGGGCGAGCTGCACAATCGGCATCTGGCGGACGTCTTCTTTGGAAACACATCCCAGAAGAAACAAAACCGCCCTCATGAGAATCTGCATCCCTCTCCCTCTCTCTGTCTCTCTCGCTCACCCTCGCTCTCTCTCTCTCTCTCTGTCTCTCTCTCTCTCTCTCTCTCTCTCTCTCTCTCTCTCCTTCTCCCACTCCCTCCCTCGCAGGCTTGCTGCAAATGAAGCTAGACCTTGGCTTCCTGAGCTTGAAATCGTCTAAAAAAAAGCAGGCCCCAAGCATTCCCAAACCTTAACGACCCAAGTGACCGGGTGTTAAATAGGCCTAGACAAATTACCAACCACGGCATCTCCTTTTGGAGCCCCTTTACTTAGCCCGATGGTAAAAAAGGACTTCAGCCAAGCGACGGCATCCGTGATCTTCCCATAGGCCGCAAAGCCTCGCATCATTTGGTCCAGCGAGGTCGCAAGCGTCATGCCGCCGATGAAGATCTTGCAGTCATCAAAGTTCCCCTTCCTCGGCATTCGCAGGCATTTCCGTGACAAGGGAAGTGAAGGGCAGGGCACAGAAGACACGGAATCATCTTTCTCGCTGCACATGGAATCGGGGGGAGGTGCCATTTGTTGTCACCAATCGAAGCCATCTTCCTTTCGCTAGAGGCATGACCCGTTTGTGCGGAAAGGAGTCACAGCTAAACATGGCTAAACCAGCTTTGGAGGGACCCCAACTGACGATCTCCCTGAGGGCGTGTAACCAAGTCTGATTTCCTTGGGGTAACCCACAGCCTGCCGCAACCCAATCATGAAGGCCAGCTGGAGCCCACGTTGACTCAGCCAGCCATGGGAAGAACGGGCGCCATTTTTCAGGAGTTGATTTTACAAACCTGCCCCGACAAGAACAGGAGAATGGGCGCCGCTGTATCTGTCAAACGTGCATGACTGGCACTCTTTCGGAGTTGGCCAGTAGGGACTTCGTTGCGAGTCTCTGCATCCGATTCAGCTCGGGGTTGGCCGAAAAGGAGTACACGGGCATCTGTGGCAGTGGGGCAGGGTTGGCCGACGCGAAGGTCGGGATGGCAATGTTCACCTGCAAGCGACTTGCGTGCAGTCCGGTCGCTGACAATGTTGGCCTAAGCTTCGCAAGGAATGAAGGGTCACGTCTACTAGGTCCTCTACCGGCCACAATCAAAATGTATAATTGTGTACTTTGCTAAGGCTAAAGGGCATCCAGGCCAATTTCGCAAAGATAACATCACCTAGCCCAGTTCGCACTGAACCGTGTGGCCCGTGCGCTCGTGACAGCCAGTCGTTTCCCTTGGCAAGAACCTTTCTAACACTGACTCCGTGCGTTGATTGCGTTTGTGTGCCTTTCATTTGCAAGCAAATGGCACAAGCGGGCTTTCCATGGATCCCACCCTGTTGTGAGCCCAGACCCTGGAGCCGTTTTAGGGAAATGTCCTAGCGCAGCGAAAGAAGTCCCATGCCAAGACCCCAGCCAATGTGTTGATCGTAGGCGGGGCCACAGGGTCCAGATAAGATGGAGCCAGGAACACGCCCAGAGCGGTGAGACTCACCATACCATCGCCGATGGTAAGCAGGAGATCCTTGGTACACACGAGGAAACTTCAGGCGATAGAACCTAGCATCATCCAACATCATCCAACTACACGGAACGGCTAGATATACACCGGGTTGATCAAGAAGAAGCCTCTGCAACGGCAACTGTTGCTGATTGATTCACAACTAGGCCCGCTAATCAACAAACAACTCAGCCTTCCCGGCCATATCAGCCAGGGCCATCTATTTCCCAAAAGGACACCACTGTCACGTTCTTCCCAAATCCTACAGGATCAATAAGTCTCACTTGCAAAAATGCGGACGATGCTTACCCAGCTTGGATACTGTTTTTGAGGCCAATCCCCGAGCTAGGGGACACACGGCACATGCACACATACACAGCGTGTTGCCCGCGAGGCTGATTACGTGATTGCCTGGCCAGCAATTAGATGGATCATTGAGCATTCACCTGAGTCCTGCACAGGGGGGCATCTATACTCGAAAGAACTCCAGCATCTGCTGGCCCATGCCCTGAAACGACAAGTCGAACGATATCATGGCCCTGAGGGGTCAACTCAACGAATGCGCTTCCATCACAGCATGGCAACCCCTCTGGCAGTAGTCAGACCTAAGAATGACCCAAAGCATCCAAGGATCAGCGCTGGGTATGAAGCTCCACCGCTCTCCTGCAGCATCCTGGAAGAATGCCAAAGCTTCCTCCGCGTGCAAGGGCCGACCCCTGGCAACCAAATCCAACCTTTTTCATCGAGGAATGAAGAGCTGAGGCTGCTCAAGTTCAAGCGCATTCGACGCATCATGCTTGCACCGGTTTGCCCTGTTTTGGGGTCGGCAAGCTATTTTTTGTCGTGTCTGTGGGGGGGGTCATTTTTGTTGGACCAAAGATCAGATCTGGGATCTGAGACTAAGTGGCAATGCCAAATGAAGTACTGGGAATCTGAGAGTAAGTCTTGGCATTAAAGGCAATTCGAAGCTAAGAAATTACCAGGAATCGAAGATTAATTTGGCAATGCTATGGAGGCTTGGGCTCGGAGGTATGTTTCGAGGACCAGGGGGTCCTGTTCTCCTTCACGGCCTTCACGACCCGTAAAAGCAAAAAAAGACAAGAAGAAAGGCTAAACCAAGTTCCTAAGCCTGTCAGCCTGTCACATGGCCATGGGTCAAAAGCCCGTAGCCCCAGTGAACATCCCAATCCCCACTAAATTAGGTCCTAAAATGGGTGGTGCACCCGCCCCAAAATGGGATCCCATGGGTTTTGACACCCGCAGCCAACATCTTCTCCTTCACCGTCTTGTCCCCAGTGCGGTTCGCATAGTCCGCCACCTCCCGCCAGAGCGGACCACAGAAGCCCTGCAGCTGCGGAAGGCTCCAGCTGTTGGGGCCCTGCGGCAGCATCTCCAGCCGGTGCCTGCACTCCAGTGCGAAATTCAACCCCCAACATGCTTGGTTGCTGTTGACCCCCCTGCAAAAAGTGTTTCATGTTTATTTTTTTGGGGGGGGGCTTAGTGGAAAACCCCTTGATTTCCCAAAAAGTTAAAGTCTAAAGATTCAACCAAATAGCAGTCGAGCATGTGCAGTAAAACTGGGGTCAGTAAAGTGACATCCTCCAAATGACCTTCCACAATGATGGGTTTCAAGGGAAAGAAGGTGCACACATGCATGCAAGAGGTTGATTGTGAGTGGATTGAAGGAAGCCACCCTCAACGAAAACCATGTTCAGAACCCCTCAACATGTAACCACTGCAAGGGACCCTCAGGACTCCCCTGCAATCATTTTGTCGAAGGCTGAAAAAAAGTCCGCTTCAAGACTTTCGTCTCGCGACCATGGTTGTTTTGGGATGCCATCCAAAGCATCCGTTGCCTTCATGCTGTGGAAAGAATATCACATTCTCATTCACCTCACACCTCGGGCTCAGAATTCAGCATCTGGCCTCCAGCGCCTAAACCAGGGGGACGGCACCAACTTCTCCCCGCGATCCATGAGATGAGGCGCCACCACTCCGACGGAGCGGATCATGCGCTGCTCCTTCGGTTCCGCGACCGGCCGCACTGGGAGTGGAGCCTTGGGTGAACGTGTGAAATGGTGGCACCTGCGTTCAGCGTCCTTCAAAATAGTTAGCTCCTTCCAATTGGTTGGCTCGTTGGAAAATAGCCGGGCCACCTGGGAAAGAAAGGGGGGTGGCAATCTTATAGACAGGTTCTTTGTGGCACTGGTGCCGCGCCGTGGGCAAATCTCACAAAAGACAGGCTAACAACTCGTGGCCTTCTCGTTCCAGCAAGGCCAAAGCTTTATGTGTATCGCTATGCGTCAAAACAGGGGCCGGTCGCGTGGTTTCCCTTTGAATCAAGGCGGAAAGAGTACCCGTTAAAAAAAGAAAGAAAAAAAACACAAACCCGACAACATATCTATGTGGCAAAGTATAGGCATATGTATATGTACCTAGTTGTGCACGAAGCCCATCGCCTGTTCAGCTCCAACGCTGCTAGCATTCTCACTGCCCATGCAAAAGCAATCTTTGTGCTAGTGGCAATCAGCAACTCCCGCCTCATGCCACGCAACGGCCGGTGTTTCTGAGTCACACTCAAAGCCATCGACCAAAACCAAACGAATCAAAAGGGCGGCCACGCCAAGACTGGGACTCCGCAATCAGCTCCGGATGGAGACTCCCAATGCAGCACATCAGAAATCCAAAATGCACATCCTGACTGCTTGAATCCGAGTGGGTCTCGCAAAAGATATCTAAGCCACGCACACCGATAAGCAACACGTATTCTCCATCTGTGAGGAATCCTCAGCCTCGGAGCTCAAGAGCCCGCGACCCACCTCCCATCCCCCCCGTCCTTGTCCAAGCGTGCCAGGCGCCGTTCCTCCACCCTATCGTCCCGCTTCTTCTCCTCATCCTCCTGTGGCTTCTCATCTGCCTCGCGGCTTCCCGAAGCAGCCGAAAAGGTTCACCGCGATGGGGGGATTTTTTTGGTTTGGCTTCTCTGGAACATCTGACTCCTGACATAAAGAAGCAAAGAGGACTTGAAAACGGACCTGGAAGGGGCTTCTTCCTTTGAGTTGACAGGGCTTGTTCCCTTAGTCGAGTTGCACCCCAGGCTGTACACACACACACACACACGCACACCCGGCACTTTATCCAAGAAATGCCAAATCCGCAACAGTGTGCAAAGCAAGGGACAATATGAACGGCAGTCCGACCATGGGCAGGCACTGGCCTGCCACATCGCATGGGAAACATTGACTGTCTGTACTTGCCCAGTGGCCATGGCAAAAAAACAGCACCCTTATTCGATGGCAGGTGGGAGAGACACTCTTAACAAAGCTGGACACATGGGTTCCTGGGGCAACTGGGGCAATAACCACTGGGCATGTCCAAGCAAAAAGCACCGCCACGTCTTTGCGGGATCTGTACCAGGCCTTCAGCTCGGGAACCTGCTTTCCGGTTGCCAAGGCCTCTTCAGGGTCCCTTACCGGAAGCCTCCAGATTCCCGGCTAAAAGTTCAACTTTTAGTGGGTTAAATGGAAACTACCACTAACACTGAAAGGCTAAAAAGCTAGGGGATGGCTGGGAGCCACCAAGTCACATGTTCAACAACAAGCTCCCTTCAGGAGATGCGGCAAAACGGCTCCCGGGTCGCCTGAGTGACCTCAATCGGGATCCCGCTGATGACATGGGACTCTTCCAGCACCCAGTCGATCATCATCTGCTTGGTGTTCCTCTTACCTAACACGGAGAAAACCAAGACCAACCCATCTCCCTGGACAGGTTCCGTGCCGTGCCCTATGGGCCATTGATAAAGCATCTGCAGGTTTGAGCCACAAACGTGAGAGTTTTCCGAAGGCAGCCCCAACATTGTGGCTTCAAAACCGCCAGCCCTTGTGGCGGCTTCGGAACCCAACAAGTGGGCGCCCGACTTGTTTCCACGAAACACCCACATGTATAACATCATGTATAACATCATGTATATGCATATATTGCCTGTGATTCATTTGTTTGGCCCAGGGTTTGGAGGATATGTTCCAGGCCGTGGGTGTGGGGTGGGTGGGTGGGTGGGTGGGGGGTGGTGGGGTGGTGGGGTGGTGGGTGGTTGGGCCAACCCCCACCCTGTGGGGGTGGGGTGGGTGGTGGGGTGGTGGGTTGAGGCTTGGTGGGTTGGTTTAGGGTTGGTTCAGGGTTGGTTCCGGGTTGGTTTGCGGTGGGTTTCGGGTGGGTTTGGGGTTTGGGTTGATTTAGGCTTAGGGTTGGGGTTAAGGAGGGGTTGCAGGGTGGTTTGGTTTAGGGTAGGATGTTGCGAGAGGTGCGGGGGTGTTGGTTCACGGGGTGAAAGGGGGTCTGGGACCGAAGCTGCAGGGCTCGCACGGTACTGGACAGCATCCCCAGCATTGCCAGCATCATCCCCAAGATGCGGATGATGCGGGGGAGTGGGGGGACCATACCATTGGGGGGGGGGGGGGTACGTGGCCCAGGGACTGGTACATATATTGCCTGTGATTCATTTGTTTGGAGGAAAACCAAAGGGACACCGCCCCATTTTGGAGGCTTCATGCCCATGTTTGTCGCCCCCGCCGGCCCCATCCGAACCGCGGGCTTCGGCAACAAAAAAAAACTGGCCCGCCTTTGTAGAAGCCCTCCGGCTTCAGGGTGACGAAGCACATGCCCCGGAACTGCTTCTTGCCTTGGTGCAGGGCAGAAATGGTGCCCCAAAAACCGGGGAGGACCACCTCGTTTGGCAGTGTCTAAGGAAACCTCGAAAAAGATTAGCTTGTTCAGGGTCCCATGTTTCAGAAGGCACTCCAACACTGTCAAACGGAGTGATGATGCTCATTCTACCAAGCTGATTCTTCAAACGCTGCCAACAGGCATCCAAACGTTTGAGCAAGCATGAATGGGTGCTTTGCTGGCACTGTTTTAGCTTCAGCCCAAGCTAAGAACCGCACGTCTTCACCAATGCACTTCGAGCCCTGACAGAACAAACCTTGTCTAGAAGTCTAGCTGGGGCAATTGTTTGGCACCGAACAAATACATAGGGCACGCAACGTGCCCGAAGCCGGGCTTTAAGATCCAAGTCACGCTTGTCCATCAAGACATTGCAGCTCCTTAGGCTGATGGAATCCCTGTCTCTTGCCCAAGCCCAGCCATTTTTGGGGTGGGTGTGCAATCCAGAATGATTCTGAACCTGTCAGCCCATGCCGCTTACCATGAAGCTGCACGCAGTGGCACTGAGTGGACAGAGGCGCCCTGCGCAAGGAGGACAAAAGACGAGCTTGGTACCACGCGTGCCGCAATTCGTGCGAAGACAGTCACGCTCTGTGCCGCCGTCACCCTGCAACGTGGCCACACATCAAGCTAGCTGTCATACTCTTATACGGCTGCATATGTTGCGCAGTTTGCGCCGGACGTGGATGCGTTGTAAATGGTATAAACGCTGCAAGCGGTGAAGGTGGTGTAGCGGGCCTGGGCCATGTAAACGATGTTAGTGGCACAGGCGCGCCAGTACTGGAAACACAGGCAACCTAAACAAAGGTGCAACGAGTCCGCCGAACTTGCAAGCAATCGCAAGCCAACTCTCAGAATTCCTGCAGCCGAAGCTATGCGAGCAAAAAGCTGCGTTCGAGGGGGGTCCCTAATCCCAATCCGTAACCCATTGTCGGGCACCAATGCAATAAAGGAAGCCACTACCATTTGGCAGAAGTAAGGGTTGATGTTGACCAACCAGTAAAGTCTCAGCCGAAAATCATGATCTGCCCATAATGCTTGAAGTGCAATCGCAGCTTTTGCTCATTCAGGTCCCCAGTGTTCTTCAGGAAGAAGCGCACAGATTCACCGTCGGCCTGCCCAGGGACAAGGTATAACTCATTGCCCTTAGTCCTCAAGAAACGCTTGCTAATTTGGAAGGGACCCCAAGCAACTGGGAAAGCCACTTGTTTAACTGACTGGTTGTTTCATGCCATCATTCCTGCCTTCCCTCTTCCGCGATCCACCGTCAACTGGTTTCAGGAAAAGGACGTGATCCATGCCCAGCTACCTGAGTCGGAAATGAGGAATCCCTACCTAAAAGATCTTCATCATGGGGTGATCTTGTTTTACCGCCAGGTAAGCTTTACCAGCATTATGGGCTGCTTGACACATAGCTGGAAAATCGAAACCACAGCTGTGCCTCGCTCTTGGGAGTCTTCCTCTCGCGACTCCGGCTCCGACTCCTGAGTGCCAAGCTTGCAAAAAGTGGCTGAAACAATTAAACACATAACTATCCTCTGATCATCTAATGAAGTATATTGGCGTTATAGTACCCCACAACCCTGTTCTACTTATGCAGGCCCCTGCGTCAGGGTAGCTTCTTATGTATACTTGTTGGATCAATTTCGGCATACCTTCAAGAGGAAACCTAGACTTAAGATTGGTTGTCATTCAGGTGCCTGTTTTTTCTCCGACAATTGCAGAGGACAGCGGTACTTTATGTTGATGAACACCATCGCCTTTGAAACACCTGTGCCCTTCTAAGATTGATGGCGACACAATAAGGACATGGTTGTGGAAAAATACACTTGTCTGTGATTCCGAGATAGGCCATCTCCTTGAGTTGCCTCTGGGGGTTCCTTGGTATCAAACACAATTGCCTAAACAACTGATTGTTCCACAAGCATGAACTCAACGCGGACCCAAATGTTAGAGGCATCATCTTTTGGCTCATGCAAACATTGCAGGACATTACGACACTCCTCAGCAGTTTCCTGCGGCAAAAGCGCGACATAAAACACGTCCGAGTCCTGCTGCGGTCCCGGCTATCTTCCCAACATCGCCGCCGCACATGGGTGAGCAACGCTCCTTGGATGCAAGCCGAGGAACAATTCCAACCATCATAACTAATTACACACATTCTCTGATTTGGGCAGTGGCTTGGTGTCCTGGGAGATTCAAGATCTGGAGGAAGCCATTCAACTTCCACAAGCCACCAAAGGAGGCTCACATTCTTCTCCAATGAGGTAGTTTGGGTTGGTAGCACCGTTCCCCAAACCCGTTGCGTTTCGCTCCTGATATGAGTCGCTTGCCGGCTGGCTGTGGCATGGCAATCCAATTCGCTGAGCTGAGAACTTTGCGCAATCATGTCCATTTCGGCCTTTGATGTTGACGGCTCGACCTTGTAAATTAGGGATCTGTCCCCCTCGAAAGGCCGGAAACCCCTCCTCACTGGGGGCCCTCTGACTAAGCAACCACTTGATGATTGGGTCAGAGAGAATCCGTGACCAGCGCTGACCAGCGGCTCACCAGGCTAATCTCCGGGAATTGCTGGAAGATCAGCTGCCACTGGATCCGCAAGACCCGGCCCGAGCCTGGCCTTGCAGCCTGATTTCCGGTCAAGCCCAGCCGCCGACCCGACCGACAAGCAAACCAAAAAAACAAAGTAAAAAGCAAAGCAAAACCACACACACCAGAAGAAACCGCATGCAAAAGCAAGATAGGACCACCAAACCAACGCGATCAGCGATGAGATGATTTGAGGCAGGCGAGGCGTTCGCAAAACTGATGCTTAGAAGGACTGCGGGACCACGGACTGCAACAAAAGAGTACGATCATATTCTGCTTTTAGGCGTGTCATGTTTCGCTGGGCGCTTCCTAGTTGCCACCAACCAACCAACCAACCAACCAACCAACCAACCAACCAACCAACCAACCAACCAACCAACCAACCAACCAACCAACCAACCAACCAACCAACCAACCAACCAACCAACCAACCAACCAACCAACCAACCAACCAACCAACCAACCAACCAACCAACATACCCACCCTCCCACCCAACCAACCCCGGTCACAACAGCCACACAAAAGTGACAGGAAGCTCAAACCAATTAATGCTAAGCCAACCCATCACGTCTACCAGTTCACTACCCGGAAGATCCATTTCCTGGCAATTTGTGAGAGCCTCCCGCGGTGCGGTCAACTAACTTTTTTCCCACCAATTAACGCGCAATCTCTGACAGGGAGTCCCTTTAAATGCAAAAATGTCTTCCAGGCTCCCCCTGTCACGTTCCATGTCAATTGCTGGGGGAGCGTTGGCTTTAAATGGGGCCCCCAGCCACGTGGTCGCCCATCGGGCCTCCACGAAGGCGGTCCGGGACAGCAGCGTCACGAACTGGCGCTGCGGGCCGCGGCTCGCGGACTCGAAGGCGTCCCGCATGGCGCTTTGGCCAAAGAGACCCAGCCTTCGGCGATGGTGCCGCGATGGTGCCGGAGCACCGCCAACCAACCAACCAACCAGCCAGCCAGCCAGCCAGCCAGCCAGCCAGCCATCCAGCCCAGCGAGCCAGCCAGCCAGCCAACCAACCAACCAAGCAACCAGGACGAGAACCAAAATCCAAATCGAGACCAAGCAAGCAAGCAGCCGAGCAGAACCAACACCAAAGCAAGCAGCCACCCAACCTGGTCCAACCATGGCGACCCTCCATGGAAGATGGCAGGATCTTGGAAGAATACTTTCCTTATTGGGTGCATAACGCAAATGGAATCGCGGTGGGTGGCGTCCCTTCTTAACGGTTGCTTGTTTTCCTTTATTGGTGTGACTTGATGTTGATCCCGGCTTCGGAAACCCATGCCCCAACCTAAGGCCTGCTTAAAAGCATATCACATCCCAACATTCTAGAGACAAAGAAGGAGACCAAGTAAATTTGACCCAGGATATTTTGACCCAGGATACCTTGAACAAAGTCTGACTATGGTCTCAACAAAAAGGCGCCCGACTAGTTTCCGGCTCTGACAGCATCTCAACCCGAAAACCTTTTGCCACGAGGCGTGCGACTGTTGTCCATTCTTCACCGTTTTGGTGAATGTCCAAAACAACCAAACATGTCAAACTAACAATCTGGGAATGTATCTGAACTAGAGGGAGATACTAGTGGACAAAGCCAAACATGGAGGTGTCTCGGATTCGTATCGAAATGTCACTGCCACCGCAGTAGAAAAACAAAAAACAACACAAACAACAGCAGCATCCTTCGCCGCTCGGTTCGATTCAAGCGGCAGCTCGTCTGCGTCGAACCACTCTCTCAGCAGCACGTGCGGTGTAATGCCCTGCCACATGGGCAGGTGCGGGCCTCTGGCAACCACATTGCCACGCAGCATTGGCTGACATGGTCCTGCACGGCGCGCCTCCCTTGGCCCTTCGAGCGAGCTTTTTGGGTGTGGGCAGAAGCTGTGCTAGTGACACGCAAGGGACGCGTCCCATCTCCCAGAGGAACCAGCTTTGACATGCTGTGGCCCACCTGCCAAATGGCTTCTGATGGGACCCCTGTTTGGCCTCACCGCCACTGGCCGATTTGCTTCCATTTTGAAAACAGCGCGTCCTTCTGAGAAACACATGCAGGGCTCACCCACCAACCGAGCCAAGTGGACAGGAGCCAATGCTTGCCCAGCAAGTAGCTGTGCTTTTCATGGTTTCTGTCTTGATGGGCAATAACCCCCCCTCCCTCACATGCCCTGAAATTGGCAAACCCGACAAATGAATGGGTTGACGACTTTCCCTCCAGAACCAGGCAACATGAGCGGATCCGACTTGTTAGCTGCAATCCTCAGGCCTACTCATGTTTTGCAAGTTAGAACCCTGCGTTGAACAGAACACAGAGCATGTCACACCATCCTTCGATTGGCCAGAGCACTTGGGTCAGGCTGCGTGCAGCTCAAACATATTGTGCTTCATAACGTTGCGATTCGCACTTTCGCGTACCTTGGCTCTTTCATCTGTCCCAGGTGCCACTATTTCAAGCAATTCAGTATCAATTCAGAGCCACCACTGGGGGAGGTATCCTCAACAACTAGCCAGTAGTACTCACAATTGGTCACTAATAGGCACTATTAGGCTGCAATGGCTTCTCTTGCTATGGCATTGAATCAGTTTAGGAAACATATTCAGTCACGGCCTTTTTCCTGCCAAACAACCTGTAGCTCACCTTAAGCAGCAGGGCCCTCAGGGCTTCCTTCGCTCCCTTGGAGGCTTCGAGAGGTTCATATCCTCACCAAGCTTCACTTAGTCCAGCAAGTGGTTTTGGCTTGACAGGCCAACAGGCAGGGGTTTGCTTGGGGCCGGACCCTCGGTCAAGTGAAGGTCCTTCGCACATGAAGCCCAGCACCGCCAGCAACAGGCGGGAGGCTTCGGCAAAGGTCGCCTTCGGAACGTCTTCCAACATCTCCTCACACCCCGCTTTTGCGGGACCCCCGCATGGCTTAGCCCTTGTGATCGCTAAGGGAGGTGCTCTTGCTATAACAGTTTCTTGACGCAACCAGGCCCGCCAAACACATTGCATCCCTTAAAGAAAAGAACAGATCTAAACCCGGATCGGGGCGATGAGGGCTTGCTGGTAGGAGCAGTTTTAACATCTCCTGCCAAGGCCTTCGATATACACGGGCTTGTTTGGGGATTAGTCGGGTCATTGTTAATTTGCAGACCCTGTGA